AGCCAGCTTGCAGTTCTCATCAGACAAGCAAGGAAGGAAGCAAACAAAGACAATCCAAAATAAAGATTTAATTTGGCTATTTGACCTAAGTGCAGTGCTGCAGTGATGTTGACAGCCCTATCTGTTAGCCTACACTATACTACTACTACTACTACTACATATTTAGGGTGATTTCACAGTGACAGTGTGGGGGCATTTCACCTACAAATGTGGAAATTTGTACCATGTCTCCAACCCAGGTGCAGAGTGGGTCCACCTGAAATCTATTTCACTGGGACAGTCTGTACAAAAAGCACATCCTGGACCTCATCATCAGTGGTGTTCTTTTTGAAGTACCTTTCTCATTTCTCCCCAATTTCCCCCCTATTGTGAATACAACAGCTAGGTATGTCTTATTAGGTAATATATTCTTATTTTCAGCAAAAAGTTTGGCCAACTCAGAAATGGCATACATTTGCATTTATTGGTACTGAACATGTTTTCACATATTTTTTTATATACACAGGATTTCAACACGTGTATATGAATGCACAGAGGAGAATGTCAGTGTTTCAGGCATGTAAGGACCATGCTGACAGGACATTCGGCACTTGAGTAATGTCAAGAAATATAGTAATAGCATATGCATGTACATCTTGTTGCATGTACCCTTTTATACTATTAGGGGAAGAATTGCAGTGTGTGTGTCTGTGTGTGTGTGTGTGTGTGTGTGTGTGTGTGTGTGGTGTGTGTTGTGTGTGTGTTGTGTGTGTGTGTGTACCAGCTTCGTCAGCAGCATCAGTGCTCTGAGATCTCCTGATGGCGGGGTTGGATGAGTGGGAGCTGTACTGGTAGAGCTGGTTCCCTCCTCTGTCATCCTGCTGGCTTATCTGTGTGAGGTCGTGCATGCTCAGGCTACGCAGCTTCTCCGTGATGGCACCCTGACCCTGTAACACACACACACAAACACAAGTCAATATTACATCACCAGCAAATAGAACTTCAGACCTCTCAGGGACCAAGAGGACAAAATCTAACACACCAAAGAATTAAGTGAGTGTTCTTCAAACTACTCCCCTTAACGTCTACAGACAGTAAAAGTCTGGTGTTTCCAAATTAATGAGGAGGCTTTAGGCTATTTTGTATTTCTTAGCTGTCTGAAAAAAATCTAAATTTGTGTGGTATTGTTGAAGAGACAATAATGTGATTATCAGCGAGTCTGTTAAGTTTTAAATAAGCACGGTTGTCAATATATACACTTACCTACTCACTCTGCTGCTTAAGTTCTACAAGGACCCACTCTATGAGGGAAAACTCACAGGGGCTGGGATAAGGACTTTCTCTTTCCTACGACTGGTATACAACTTTGCTGCTTTAAACGGCTATATGTTTTGGCTTAGCTGTCTGGAGTAAACCAAGTCACCACTGCGCTCCAGCTGCTACAAACACGTGAAGTTACAGACTTTGATTTAATTTCACTAAATTCAAAAGACAAAAAATTCAGGTCATCT